TACAGGATTTTATGTTGATAAAAAACTCTATGGTCCATAAGTCATTAATTTACTTTATTTTTACTACTTTTAACTGGGTACTTTTTAACAACTCTTAACATCTTAAACACGTGATAACTTTTAAACGAAATATCCGATTGAGAGGAAACAAAAAGTAAGAGGAGACTAGTTTTACTTCTACATAAATACTCTTGATAACATAATGCTTAATTTCGATAAAGATTAATATTAAGATACATATTGAACACTTTTTTTTCTTCGGACGAATTAATAATTATTTTGAACACAAAATCGGTTATTGTTATTAAACCATGATAGCTAGGTATATGCTCTCGCGGACTCTTTTGTAGGTTTTAATAGAATCTACAAACTTGTAGTACAACATTTTGTTCTATTGTCAATAGTTTTTGCAGCGCACGGAAAAATAGGTTTTAGATTTTACTCCTTGTGTTACAAAATAGCAATTTTATTACGGATCCCTAAAGTTGAATTAATCAAAATATAGCTTATAGCCTTCCTCGATAAATGGACTACACAACACTGAAAGAATCGTTGAAATCGGACCAGTAGTTCCAGAGATTAGCACGTTCAATCAAACAAACTCTGTAGCTTTATAATATTAAGTATAGATTTGAAAATACGCAATTAATTTGGCATGAATTTAATGTTACATCAATATTTTCCATGGAAGGGAGATGAACTTTCAAATTGGTTGTAAATATTTTCTGGAAGAGATAGATTCGAAGAAAAATGAGAGCTGGTTCATTTTTCTTAGAAAATAATTATACGAATACAATTAGATACTTCGTCTAACATGTATTAATTTCACGGTGGATTTGTTTCTCGCTCGCGTGAACCCAATTTGACGATAGCAATATATACAATGTATATTTTGGTTTATTTTCGTCAGAATAAAAAAAATTATAACAAAAGATTTTTTCCTCAATGTAGATACTCATATCAATTTTCAAGTAATTTTTATGAAAGGTACCTAGGTATTAAGATTTTTAAATGTTGACTAGTATCAGTCTTATATGGTAACGTATCAAATGTAAATGTATCAACAATTGGTATATAACAAATGTGCAACTGCTAACATGTTAAGTATAACACGTGTAAAGTAACTACCAGAAGATGTATCTCCTTTACATTTAGAAAGTATTGCTTGCGTGGAATAACTGTCACCATTAAATTGGCAATGAGACAACATAATTGACTCTAACACGAATACTGCCGTACAGTTGGGGAATATAATAGTTAAATGTCAATGATAACTGCACGAGTCTGGGTAATTACAGTCTAAATACGCGGGTAATGCGTCAAACTAACGACGGAACTTATCACATCAATACGCAATAACTAGACTGACATTAATCTCAACTAGTGATAACAGATTTTAGTTGGTTTCCATACTAAATACTGTTTTGATGTAAATAGGCTGTATGTTATACTAAGATGGTGGGCTTCAACCGAATAATTCACTTAACTTCAAAGTCAGGATTTAATTTAATTATCAAAGGACATTTCTATAGTCGCGTTACTTGAGAAATGTCTTTAGTTCGTTACTAATACGTATGCATGAACTTTTGTCTGTCTATTTGCTCGAATGTAAGTCTTCAAACAAATATCAGCTGTATTCACTTTTTGTTTGCGATCGGGCAGTTTAGTGACTCAGTTTTTTCAGGAAGCACTGTACTCGATCTCTGCCACACTTATAGTCCTTGTGCGACTTATACGAACACCCACGGGAAGACTGGAGGTGGTGACAAATGTATTCAATTATACCGATACCAGCACTACAGACTTATACACACATACTTATTGAGAAGATTTACTAGAACAATTGTTCTTAACTGGAAATACAGATCACCTTTCTGCAACACGTGACGTCATCGGTACTTTTAGAAGAGTTCATACTATTATACCAAATGCAGGAGTACCTATTGCAACATTGTAACGAGGTACAATGACCTTATCATGTAACATGTATAATAACAGAAACTGGGCAGTGAATTGCAATGCAGAATGTACTTCACAACTACTGAGAACTTTTATTATATTAAACTAGAATTGCAGGTGGAATATATTAAATGATTTTCCAATACCAATTCACAGGCGATTTACTACAAAAAACATTTAGTCATTCGGAACTTTGCATGTTCGGAATTGTATTTCATAATATGGCTGAACTGATTTAAATTAATTTCCCAAGCGGAATGGACCTCGCTTCATTTACCTGCATCTCATCATCTAACTAGGTAGATAATTGAACTTTTTTTGTTATTGTGTGATTAAACTAAATTGCTTTTAATAAGATACACACCATTCTCTGTTCTATAACATTAAAGATAAGTGCTAATATTGTGGAGCTAACTAGAAGACTGTTCGAAGCTGAGTGTTTACAAATAATGTTGGTATAGTAAGGTTAAACAAACAATTCTCACAAAGATACGAGAAGTTTTTTGTTCTGAGTCGTTAATGTTGCAATACATGAAACATTAGATACTTACCTATATGAAACATATTGTACTACATGCTTGAAGACAAATTTATCCTTCAAATTCGGTGAAAACATACTCGTATTCCTATTTCACGGGAAAACTATTAATTATAACTTGTACCTACCTGCATTATACTGTCTATAATACCCGTTTGATGATTAACATATTAGGTCCATATATGAAAGTTGTGTTGTTTGATAGCTGATAAAAAAATTATTATTAAAAAAACAAAATACCCGACTGCACACTAAAAAAAGAGTAAAACAAGCCCCACAATACAAATTTACTGAATATAATTTATAAATGTTGATGGAAAGCATCGCAGGCGGGGACCAACAGAGGCTTATTTATAGTCATTTCTGTTGTGCACCATTTAGCAGAATTTTCGTTGGTGGCGGTCAAGGTGGTCCCCGCCTGCGATGCTTTCCATCAACATTTATAAATTATATTCAGTAAATTTGTATTGTGGGGCTTGTTTTACTCTTTTTTTAGTGTGCAGTCGGGTATTTTGTTTTTTTAATAATAATTTTTGTATTTATAACTTTTTAGCTGTTTTTATTTAACGAAAATGTTGTAGATGTAGAAGACTATGTATATGTAAGTACCATTACGACCGACAACGACGTGTGCCCTTATGCGTGTGCCCGCATTCGGGCTGTATACTCGAGCATATCCCCCTCCGCACCGCGCCGCGCGCCGCATGCCAGGCCACGCCCTATCTTTTTGCTTGCTAACGCATGAGTTGCTTTGCGTTGACGCAGAATTAACATGTTCCCGTGGGAATTTTGAGAAAAAACGTATCCTATATTAATTACTTCCGTGATTGAAATGAATCTAATGATACCGCATACATATTTTTTTAAAGGCAAATTTAGAAAAATATTATTATGTCTTTATCCCGTGGGACTTTTAGGATAAAATGTATCCTATGACACTCCCGTAATCAAGACAAATCTAACGATACCTCATACATCAAAATCCATCAAGCCGTTTAGGCTACAGGAGGTCACAAAGGAAAAGACATACATACATACTTACATACACTCGAAAAACATTACCCTCCTTCTTTGGCAGTCGGGTAAAAACAAACGCTGACGACGATTTTCTCCTTACAATTACTTAACAAAAAGTACAGCACGCACGGGAGCTGAGTGTGACTGTACTAACTTTCTTACTAATCTAATCAAACGAAGTAAATCATTGAAGTAAGATATACTGTTCCGTTTGAACACAATATTCATTGAGCGTTACAGATACTTAGCTAGTAGTGAGACATCTAGTGTCGTCACCAAGCCGATCACGTCTGTCCCCGGGACACGCGCGTGAACCAATGTCCAATATTATTAGGTACCTACTCACTTGAGACCTTTGAGTTATAACGTGCATTTCCAATGAGTTTCACTTGTGTATTAAAGACACGATTTTGTCCTTTACAGGCAATGAGGATATTTCACAAGTATGGGCCTTTAATATTTTTTCCAAAATATTTATTACATTTTAGACAAATCTGTGTGAAGTTAAATTATGCAGATTTTTAACGATCTTACAAAATAAAACAATATCAAATACTAAGTATGCTTTCAAGCAACAGCACTCACAGGGTCATTACAATTGTCCTCAACTATTATTGTAGTTTTCTTTGACAGATTGTTTTGTCCTTTTTATTATTTTAAAGTATTTGGTAAAATTATATCCCATTTTCGGGCAGTTGTAGAAAATAGGTCTTTATACCAGCATTATATCAGTGGCAAATACAAATGAACCAGTAAACTAGTTGTATCCATCGTTTTTTAAATTTATTTGACATCGGAATTCAATTCCTATGTTAAAAGTCGCTGTTTATATAGTAACAAAGTAATAAAAAACTTTAACAAAACGTATATTTACCGGTAATATCGGCACTACTTTATAATTTCTGCATTGTATACTTGCTGGCAACACACAATATTGTGTGTAACTTTACTGCACTATGTAATAATGTTAGATATTCACATAGAGTTTTAATTAACTATTGCGACCTCGTTATCTGCCAGGTTGCAGGTGAAGCGCAATAATGTACCGCGACCTCCGCCTGGAGCAGGAGAAGGCACGGAGTAGTGTTAGTCAGGAAGAGTCCCACTCCTCGCACCAACTTACTTAACATCTCTTCATATTTTTATTTCATATCAATCACTGACAACAGCACTATAGATAGGGAATAGGTTTTTCAATTGAAATGAAACAACATGATAAAAATATATCAAAATTTTATATTTAATCTGACGGCATTGTCATCTGATTATCCTCGTGTATCTTTGAAATACATTGTTAACAATATTTTGAAATAACATTATTCAATGTGAAATGAAACAGAAACGACTGGCGTTTCTTAACTTCTTAAAAAGATATAAATTTTCTAATTCAGTCGTATTTAGTACATACGTATATATTTTGTTCCTGGATCAAAACTAACATTCACAAACTCAAGACTTTTGATGTTTGTTTTAAGACAAAATATCTTATTTTTCTGATAAAAACACTCACATACAGCTTAATACACCCTCTTCATTTCCATTCAACTAAAAATAATTTATACTCTTTTCCTATTATTATACAATCACAGAATTTGAATGAATACTATATTTACAGTAGAGTATGTACACAATTAATGTAATGTTGCTCCCTGCCTCCATCAGTCATCAGTTTACTTACAACTTAGAACTACGCCTTACATCTCCGTGCACTAAGTGGGTGCTTCCTCTATCTGCTGCGGACAGTTGTCCGCGACGCGACTGGGCGTCCTGTTGAGCAGGAAGTCCAGGTCGTGGGATATCTTGTGCAGCACTTTGTCTGTCTGTGTGAATGTGGTGTGCGTGCTCGGGGTTTGGGACTGTGTGTCCACTAGCTGTAGGTGGGAATTGCTCTCGTCGCTCTCATGGTTTATGGACGGTAACGATGTGCTCCACGACAGCTGAGGCGAACGCTTCTTTAGACAACTCTTGATTGGACGCGGAGCTGTGCTCGTTGCTGACAAGTCTGGAGTGGACTTTGCACACAGCGTGCAGTTGGCCTGGTAACATTATTAATACTTTAAACCAGTCTTAAGTTTTGCTACACAACGTCATAGGAATCCTCATTTACCTTTGATATGTCGCTTGTATCGCTAGACGGCTGGAAAGTACTGGTGTCCGTGACGGTAGTCTGTGGCGCTTCAGGTAGCACTCCTAGTTCCACACATACCCGGGACACACGAGGCTCTGCACCGCCTACTGACAGAGATATGATACAACGTTTATCAAAACATATATTCCATTACATTACTCTTTAGCTGGAAAAGTGTTTGAATATTACCAATAGGTATGAGGTCGCAGAGTGTCCGTGTGTGGACATTGCGCGGTGGTAGTAATGCCTGCTTGTACTCCACGCAGCGCACTATGTCCGCCACACACGCGCCGCTCGACCCGCGCCTGATCACACAACTACATTATACATTGTCTGACAGATGTAGCAGATACTGCACAGTGACGTCACACTAGCTCACCGGTGCAAGGGGCTCTGCAGCGGCGTGGCGCGCCAGTACGTGTTGGCGGGAGACACGTGCGACGAGGAGCACTCCAGCGAGCCCACCGCGCCGCGACACTCCATCTCACGCCCTTGTCTTATGTACACTACAACGTCAACAATTATTGTAAAACTGATCTTATAATCATTGGTTGCTTGCAAAAGTATATATTTTCAGAAACTTACAACTAAGTGATGTGTCTCCTTCAGGGGAATCGTGCCAATCATTGTTTGAGGAGAGCGTGAGTAACCGCCGAGCTGCTCGTAAACACTCCTCGTCACAGATCACGTAGCATATCAACATTGCTAGACCCTGCACACGCAAGAAACGGCATTGGTACAGAAGAGTAATTATTGGCTTGTTTCACATATAGTCCGTACGCTGTATGGTCCTTACATTGGCTAATGCAGCGACAGAAAGCGCTACAACTTTAGGTATAGTCTTCTCCCCAGGCTGCGCGTAAGCTACCCCTGCAATCTGTGTCGCTGTAGTAGTGAAGAGTAGCACTAATGTATGGCGCACCACTCGCGCACGTTCCCGCACGTACTCGCGTCTGTCGGGCGGCAGCTTTTGGGTGACCTGAGACGTAACGTAGGAAAAATAATTTGTTATGGTTTCTTAGTCATTTTTTCATGCAGAAGAATGCAGGGTGTAAAATGTGCTTACTGTTCGCAGTGTCCTGGCAGCGCAGAGTGCGAGACAGAGTGTAAGCGCGGCTAGTAGTGCAGCGCCTGCTCCACAGACCGCATTGGCAGCCGCACCTAGCTGCAAAGGCGCTCCGCCCCACAATCGAGCTGTCAGCCAGCACAAAGTGCTCACACCTGCAACCAACCCACTACGTGAATACAATCCTTCTACATTGTCCACCGTGTTAGTATCTTCTCACGTACCTGCCAATAGCCCCACAGATGGCGCTCGAGTGGCTGTGGCCGCCAACTCAGTGTGTAGTAGCAATGGTTGTGCACATAAAGCGGCACATCCCGCGCACCAGCACGCCGCTACTGCCCAACCCAGAGGCCCGACACACGCAGATGTCTAATGAAACAATAGTACATTTGTTCATTCTCAGTTCGGACTTGAAACTCTTTCTAGTAAGGCCGTGGTTCAAACTTACCTGCTTCGTATCGCATTCAAGAAGCGTTAACATAGCTGCAGAATGTGTAGCGGCAGTAGCAGCTCTGAGTAGTACTGGCAGTCTCGTTTTACTTCCCACTACGAGGCTAAGGAGTTGTAACAGTGCAGCCACGAGACACATCGCACTGCCCAGGCTAACTGTGATCTTCACAATAGCTCGCGAGTCGCTCTCAGCATCCGTCTGGAAGAATCACTGCTGTTTTAAATTATCAAGCCAGTCAACGATATTAAGGTTATATATTACCAGGTGCTAGTACTCACGAGACCCAAACTGTCGACGGTAAATAACGCGATGGTCGCAAGTCCTCGACAGCGGCAGGCGATGTAAGTCTGCTCTTGTACACGTAGCTCACATGTGTGAGTGCTCCACACGCGCGGCGAGGACCGGGACCGACTCCCGCACGCTAGCTGAGGACCTGGGGTAGCAAAACTCTATCAAAATATCCAAGGACAAAGTTTTGATTATTCACTAAATTGTCTCCTCACCGATGGCACTGTAGTTCTTCGAGTGTGTAAACAGCAAGGTCACAGTATGAAGGAGAGTATTGTCAACTCCTGCGCCACTGACGGAAAGCTGTATTTGTTGCGATGCTATTGTGTACTGTGTCGCACGACCAGACCTGGAAGAGTTGCTGCTACAACTGCCGCGATGGGGAAAATAAAAGTAAAAACGTAAGAAAATAATAATAATAAAAACCATAAAAATAAAAATAAATCAAGATTCAACACAGGAAAAAGTAACATTTTATCAGATTTAGTAAATACATTATATTGAAATAACAACTAAAATCACTTAGGCAGAAAAATAAAACCATAAAAAAATCTATAATAATTGTATTGTATCTGAACAAGTCTTACTTATACTCGACGAATCTCTTTAGTGAAGGCAACCTTGCTCCCAAGTCGTGATAAAGAGCGGTCACCACAGACGCATTCTCAGTTTTTGTAACAAGTTCAACTCCCGCTGACGTCACAGCCCACTCTTCTCTCTCCGCTAATGCTGGCTGAAGGTCAAAGTGTGCCGCGTTGTCTTCAAGTACTGGTTTTGACATAACCGTGAACTCATGGTAACGCTTATTGAAACTACTTCTTAGGCCTGCAGTATCCACCACAGCATTTTGAAGATCGAAAATTTTCTAAAAATGATACAGTAATTTTAGACCAGTTCGGTAATAGCCTAATTTTTTATTTATTTAAGTTAATTAGTTACTTACTTCCTCATCCAAAAAAGCATCGGGATGTTTGAGCAGGTTGTCGTAAATGTTAAGCAGGTGTTCCGTACTGTTGTACCTATCGGGCGGCTGGGCGGCAGGAGACATGAGGTAGTTGAGCATGTGTACTGCGTGTGTGAGGGGGGGCTCGCCCTCGCCCGGGTTTGTCGGCAGCGAGCGCAGCACGGCTCCGTACTGCCGCGACACGTGCGACACCGAGCCCCACGAGTAGCCCATCGATATCAGGGTGAACTGATGACAACATTATAACTCACATCTTTGTCTACAAAGAACTCATCATATATTGTAAGTGTATGAATGATTTACTACCTGTTCATAAATATCCCTCAATGAGTCCGCGACACAACCGGAAAAATCTGGTAATCTCCATTTAACACCGTGGTCTCCAGTCTTTGGCTCACAAAACCTTAAAAAAGATTTACAATGAAATGAAGATAAAACATCATGCAACTAGAGACTTTATATTGTATTGGTATAGTGACTTATTTTGACAACCTGGTAGTTTCCCCGCTGTGTCCCGGTGGACAAGATGCAGTCGCGTGTGCTCCAGGAGCTGTTTTTGGCCAGCGCAAGCCGTGAGAGGCGTCACTCTCACACGCCGCGTCATCACTGCCGAGAGCCCACATAGTGACAGCTTTGGCGTTGGTGCCAGCCACTGATGACACTTGACATCGGAACTCACTGGATTTCTATACAAAGAGATCAAATAAAATAAAATAAATTTGAAGTAGCACGTAGGTACATCTGCATTGCCTGACGTAATTAGTATATCTTACCTGGACATTATAAAGCTTCAGCACACTGCCTGCTGGGAAAAGATCCTCCCAGACCTCTCTACCTGGTGCCATGGGAAGCAGTGTTCTCTCTCTTGCCCAACTGAATCCGAGAGCACCATGCACCCGTCCAGCTCCCGCCAGACATGTTATTGTTACATTATCACCCTGATAAGATTAAAACTTAGTTTTCATGTAATATGTTTAAATTAGTAGTAGCCCAGTTTGCATGGACTTACTCTATTAACAGTCAAGGTGGACGGCACCAAGCGTATCTCAGGAGGTCTCAGCACTGTCAGTCTCAACGCTCTGCAGCGTCTCCTGCCAGCATCGTCTGCAGCACAGGACCACTTCCCACTATCTAATCTCTCCGCCTCTGTTACACCTAGTACTGACATTCGACGACCGAGTGCGTCTTCTGACACTGTTCGTGTCCAAATGTCCCTAAAACCAGATTTTTCTCTAGTTATTTACACACTTCATCTCTAACAGTATGTATAAAGAAACATTTAGTTAAGACTTTACATAAAAATAAGCAGAATATTCTTATGTTCAACTGCAAAATAAGCCATCAGAGTGGTACGTTGGAAGTTGGGCGATTAATCGATGCGGATAACTAACAGTCACCGGTAATTGGATGGGTGGCCATTTCGTGTCGAGAGTGAAAAGGCTCATTTACTCTTTGCGACTATTATGGTGTAGATCGAGTTTTTAAGCCTGGTCTGAAATTTTTCTACGTTAAAGTTAATTTGGTTTAAGAATGTTGTGCTCACTTACCTTGTGGTACCGTTGAAATTTATTTTGACGCTGTCTTTGTACCACGTAAAGGCCATATTTGGAGATCCATATGCCATACAAGTTAGTATGAATTCTGACCCCTCCCACACTTCAGGACGTTGGTTCACAACCAGTTTCTGTAGGTTGAATAATATGACAATCTAAATATCAGCATGAATTTACATCTTCCCGTATTTTGGACTTTTTGCTACCTATGTGTTATTTACCTAGTGCTACATAGTAGTGGTGATGGTGTATAGAGACAAGGATGATATTTAGGCCAGGATAACGAGTTAACAAGAATTACCTAGTAGCATGTGTTCTGCCAACTTTAAAAAAAGGCGGTATTAAACGTTTCGAAGTTATTTATTTTTCTTCAAATATGTGACATGTCTGCATTGCTAGTGCAGTCGGTTGACTGGCTGCTGCCAGGACATCGCGGATTCGAATCTTGCGCGCAATAACTCTGCGTATTATCATCTAATAATATGTTTAACACTGACCCAGAAATTGACAATTTGCGGCTGTCGGCGACACAGAAGAAATCAGAAAAAACAAAAATTTTATAAAATCTTCTATTAATGCATTGACCAATTATACGCTATTTTCTTTCTTTAGTATTGACTCATTATAAGCGAAGTTATTTCTAAACAACCAAGTAACAGAAATCTCGTTACACTAAGTAGGTACTTTTTCATTGATTATGGATATGTACTTAAGAATTTAATCAAGCTGAGATTACTCCAATCCCCTTAAGCGCTCATGTTTCCTCTTGATTTCGCTGTAAGAGATTGATGGTGTCGTTATGAATGTAAGTGCTCATAGCGATTTCCAGATAACTTCAGTGTGAGTAAAATCTATACTAATTAAAAAAATGTTTTCATCTATACAATATTATAACTGCTACCTATGTGATCCAACCAAATCTAGGATTATGATTATATCGAATCGTGTTCTACTTACTGCTGCCATACATGAACATACCAAGTGAAAAGTTGGTGAACAGTAACACTAACTTATATAGTTACAGATTAAATAGAATATAGCCACTAAAAGAGTCATTAAACATTTGGTAACTGTGCTCACGTGCAAACTTAACGCTGGATGCATTTCAAAATGCGTGGAGGTAGGTAGGAGACGAGTACGTGCAGAAGCGAGACGTGCCAGTGCTGCCCGTAATGCTGGTGCCTCGCGTCTAGAACTCCACACTCGCACCCAAGCATCCCTTATACCTTCTGTAGTTGTCAAACTGTCAAACAAAATAAGAAAAAATAGACTATTTATGTAGACTCAGGTAATTTTGTTTACTGAATATTTCATTTACATAATATAAATACTGTTTAGATTCTGTCTCAGAAAAGGCAAAAAAAACTCACCTTGTATTCAACACTTGTACATCATCTTCTAAAGTAATATTTGATGCCTTCAAAAATTGTGTTAGCTGTAACAAATGACATCAATGTTTACCAAGTTATTCTTTTCATTACAATTTTGTTATTATAACTATAATTTACCTGTTTCGCAATTTCATCCGATATGTTTTCATTTGGTAGACCCACTACTTGCAGTCTTGTTTCGAATCGCGCTGATACTATACAAAAAGAAATGTTTACCAGATTGTGGGTAGTTACCAAAAAATGGGTCATATTTAAATAGCAAGTTATAACGAGAAACAGACTAACATACGTACAGGTAAAATTAAATAAACATTTGTCAAGGAACTTAGTAACTATGTGCACTACGCTGTGGAGGTAAGGTCGCATTTGTTGTGGTCATAATTTTTACGCATTCACTCTTACACTTGCATAAATTGGTCATGAAAAGTAAAAATACAATAACAAACAGACATTTAACTAATTGAATACTCACACGCGTCTGTGTCCTTAGGATTACAATCACAAGCTGTCCCGTCTTTACAAACTTTTGCACATTCTTCTATACCACATTCTGCAACAAAAACATTAAAGTTAATTACAGTATTTAGTGGATCATTATTTAGTACACCATCTCCTTAAAAGTATTAGCTTCCAGTAGCAGCTTTAATTTATTGGACAACTACTGCCAAGCGTGTACAAAAACAACCAGTCGTTATTGCATTTAAGAAAAGAACTAAAGAATTTTTCATTAAGTTTCTGAAAAAGATTAAATAAAAACCAGCGTAATTGATAAAAGTGGTTTTTAAAAGCTTTTGTAACCGCTTACAGGTCAAAATACAAAAGACTGTTAAAAAAAAGTGTTTATGTTTCATTTTCAACTCTATTGTTTCGTTATACAGTCAGCAATTGATTGAAGGAATTTGACAGATTGTTTGTATGCTAGTAATCATCAAAATATAATGCTGACAGCGGGTCTTTTTATTATAAATTTGCTATAATTACGCTTGGCAAGTGGAAGAAAGATTCGAGTATATCAAAGAACGCTGCCTGGTCTCTGCCAAATGTGTATGATGCGCTGATGTCTAAAGTGCAATAATTTTAGAATGATAAAATGTATACATCTCACCAGGCGGCGCTACCTGGGCCTCGCACAGGTCCCCCGTGTAGCCGGGCGCGCAGATACATCTGACGGCAGCCGGACCCATCTGTCTGCCGATACACTCTCGTTATTGAATAAAATGGAGTCAATGAAGGGTTTTCTAGTTTTGGAAAAGCTCAAGGTATCTTTGCAAAAGATATTTGTATGTGTTTCCTACATTAAATAATATTTAGATTAATGTGACCGCAATGTTCGACGAGACCTTTAAACTGATTTGGAATTCGTAATAAACGTTTAAGTCTTGCCAAGTTTCGTGATGATAACCATTAGCAGTCTTTGTAATTAGAAATAGATTAAGACTTAGATTTTATCATATACACGTTTGTGATAACCAATGCAATCTAAAAACTGAAGCAATCTATAATGATATAAGAATATGGAGAAAATTTCTTTATGTAATATATTGGAGGTTCTTTATGAATATAACAGGATAGTAACGTTTGAACTTACCTGCAAGTGCCGCCATTTTTACACATGTTGGAGGTCGTGGGACACAGCGGACCCACTCCGCAGTCCGCGCCGGAGTAACCGTCGAAACACGAACAGTAAAACTCCCTGTGATACGAGAAACATTTCTTTTAAAAATAGTCAACATCATTAATATTCTGTCCTGTCTGTTAATTATTTATTTTATAAATCGTTTTATTTTTGTAAATTTACCAATGAAACATACTAATTACCTTCCACTACCTAGTTGTAGTTTTTAATGTTACAGTCGTTGGAAAGGATAAGGGCGACTTAATAAAGTAGTGTGAGGAATGTTATGAGCGAAAACGGATTTTGTGTAAAGAGATCTACAAGCACAGAATAAAAGAGATAGCTTTAATGTGCTGATCTCTAAATTTAACTTGAACTACAACAAAAGAGAAGATAAATATTTCCAGTACTCACCGATAATCATGGCTGGCATAGCAGTGTCCCAGCAGGCGGCACTCGATGGCGCTGCAGGAGGTGGGCCCCGGCGCCTGTGCGGCCGCCCGCACCTCGTACGTCACGTTGAACCCGTACACGGCGAGCAGGCCCAGCGCGCGGAGCTGTGTGCCTTCTATTCTGTCCAGGTTCAGCTCCACCACTAGCACTGGACTCTGGACCTGCAAATATGCTACAGTAAGTATCATACTTTTATTATAACTTTCGTGAGCTAACTTCTAAATTAATTATTGTGTTTTTGGCTTACTCGAAAAAACAATTACGTGACATATAATAATTAAGTAAGTACTATCACAGTCTATAACAGTCCGTTGTTGGACTATGAGGTTCCTCTACATGGGAGGATTTTGCATAATCTCCAGATCGGGTTTATAATGTGGCTGTCTGATATAATTTGTCATTTAAATAGCTTTTTGGTCCTTTTTGACCATTTTTATCGATTAATTCTTGTTATAGATTTCCATGTAATAATTCTTATTGCCATTGCCTACATGGTAAGTGGCTAGTATAATAAATATTAGTTTAAAAAACTAAAGAGCACGCTTTAATAGCAATCGAACTAAAAAGTAGAAAATAATATTTGTTTAAGAGAGTTTGAGTTACTGCAATATCAAATTCAACAATCAATCATCGTAATTTATTCAGAATAAGATAATTTTAGACAGTATATGTATATTCACAAAAATTCAAATAAAGTTGAAAAGCGTGGGGTGCTACCTTGCATTTTGTGCAAAGTAGATGCCCAACTCAGGATTATTGGCAACATTCGCCTTTCAGCAGTACCATAGCTATATTTCCTGGAAACTACTATATATCGATATTGGCTTAATTAGTTGTACACCATCCTGACCAAAGTCGATACGGACTGATGGTATATCTGAATCATATACTTGATCTCTTCGGAAATGTGGCCAGATCATTTCAGTGATAATACCCATAGTGCCATTTACTAAACCTTTTGTCACGTCAATATTTGATCTCAACATAACTTTAGCCCTCACAAAAATTTTTAAATTTTAGGAAGACCTCCCGTCTTGTTAATATCATCAGGTATAACAGATTCCAAATTTTAATCACTTAAATTTCGTGTAGCATCAATAAGTTGATCTCGTGCCTTTATTGTATAAATACTTGTGCCTTTTGTCACAAAGTACCGAAGAACTTTATAATTGTGCTTAGTTACATGATCATTCGTTGGGTATATGCTTAACGCTTTCTCAATTGAAAATTCGTTGTTAGCGTCTGTCAAAACGTTTTCGAGAAGTATTTAAAGATGCCGTGATGTTAATTCACCAATTCTTAAAGCATTCAGTATATCAATGAATGTTGTGTCTCCTTGTTGACGCATGTTTTGTTTCAATTCAACCAGCTTAAAGAGCCGCCATAAATGTGTAGCTGGTTTCATATGCTCTGGTTGTTGAAAAACTTGATGTCCTCGTGCTGGGGGTAGTTGCATTAAGTCACCAAATAATAAAACATTTAATCCCCCAAAACATGTGTTTGGATTTTTAAGTTGTCGCAAACGAGAGTCAATCATACAAAGCATTTCATAAGGTACCATAGAAATTTCGTCTATGAAGAGAAATTCAACGTGTTGCCATTGTTGCCACATTACTCTTAAATAATTACCTGTTAGAAGAGGCATAGTAACAATGACCCCATTTTTTGCACAGGTAATTTTAGTAGACGATTAAGTGTAGATCCACCGACTAATCGTGCCGTACTCCAGTGAGAGCACCAACTTTCACTGCAGATTTTCCATAACACCAATTTACTTGATTTTTCAGCAAATTAAACAGGAAAGTTTTCCCAGTTCCCGCTCCACCAGATACGAAAATTCTTTCACGAGTTTGATCGCCATTAAGTTGTTTTTTTATATTCTCGGTTATGAAAATGAAGAGTTGCCTTTGACCAATATTCATAGCTTGTTGTGCTCTTTGGAATTCTTCATTACTCATATTTATTTCAGGCAATTTTTCTTCTTCGCTTTCAAGATCCAGTATTTCTGGCTGCTCCAAAAGATCAAATGCATGGACTTGATTAAATGCATTTTCAAGCTGTTGATCACGTTCTCGATATTGCTGCACTCATTGCTCTCGGTTGATTTTCTCGAGCTAAAAACGCATCTTTTGCATTATCAAATCCTTCAAGTAATTCAGTTTCCGATCGATATGGCATATATTGAAGTAGTAAGCTGTAGAAAAAGTTTTCTGGATCAGATGATACTACGAAGTATGGCACTCTTACAACTGCAGAAACATTCCTCACAGCCATTTTACTGTATCTAATAGCGTAATTAGTCGGCAACGTACATTCGACTGAACTTCGTAAGCATCATGATCAGCACTTTCTTCTGTTTCATTTATTTTCTTGTCATAGAATGGTTCGAATAACATCGCGAATTCCGTAAGACTCATGTTAGAAAACTCATAATCAGAATGATCCAAGGGACGTTTTTCTTATCTTTCAAAGATATTACTACAGCAGCCAGTGGCGTGACCCGTGTTGTCAAATTGCAATACTCTATAACGCTGTTCTGGCTTTCTGGTGTTGAGGAAAACACAACTTCGTGAACTATCACGTAACGGGAGATGACATAGGCGATACGCACATTCAGCAGCTGATACTTGGCGTTCATGAAGAATTTTCATACAAATACGAAAGAGTTTGCGTGGAATGTCAGACTCTTCACGTTGTATTTGTTGAACTGCTTGTGCTATTCCAGTATCTACACCTTCAGGTTCTGCTTTTGATAGGTATTTTGCAATATAGTACGCTATCGCCTCATTTGAACCGCATGGCTGAATGTCCATATTCCCTTCCCACAGTTTCAACAAATCTGGATGTCTTGATGTTCTTTTCGTCGCTTCAGTAAGCAAATCCTTCCTCCATTACGAATAAAATCATCTGATTAATGAGAAACTATCCGAGTCTCATTGCATTCTTGCCGTGGAAAGTTAAATCTACATCTTACAGAAGTATTCTTTTTTGTACAAGTTTCAGTATGTCGATGAATTTGACATTTCTTAACTAGCTCATATAGGTCTGGATCTTCTTTTCCACTGTAACCATTTTACAGGAACAGTTTCGATCAATAAGAAGTTTTCCTTCCTCTGTATCAAACTCTGGATGATTCTCTACCCATATGACCATATGGAGATGCGAACTACCCCGACGTTGAAATTCGATACGCCACCAGTAATCTTGCGAGCAGCCCTGTGTTCTTTTGATTCTGAAGCTCGAAGCTCAGCATTGTGTTGTCGCATGTGCTCCAATCGAGCAGCCCTGTGTTCTCTTGATTCTGAAGCTCGAAGCTCAGCATTGTGTTGTCGCATGTGCTCCAATCGAGCAGCCCTGTGTTCTCTTGATTCTGAAGCTCGAAGCTCAGCATTATGTTGCCGCATGTGCTCCAATCGAGCAGCCCTTTGTTTTTTTGATTCTGAAGCTCGAAGCTCAGCATTATGTTGCCGTATGTGCTCCAATCGAGCAGCCCTGTGTTCTTTTGATTCTAAAGTTCGAAGCTCAGCATTATGTTGCCGCATGTGCTCCAATCGAGCAGCCCTGTGTTCTTTTGATTCTGAAGCTCGAAGCTCAGCATTCTGTTGCCGCATGTGCGCTAAGCGAGCAGCTCTATCTTTTTCCGATTGTAAGGCTCGATAATTTTTCATATACAATCGCCTTTTTTGTTTTCTCTCGATCAGTTCATCAGTTGAGAGTTGTAAATTTTTTTCTATTCTTTTCTGTCTTTTTTTCTCCAATTTCCTCTTTCTTTGTGTTTTAGTTTCATTTTCATTTTTGTTCCCACGAGTATTGGACAATTAAACGGTCAGCCCTCCCAGAGGTCCGATAGAAGGGTAAGGCTTTTATACAGCAGGGTGTGCCCGGTGCCCTGAGGTTGACGCTAGTGACATGACATGTTTAATCACCCTCTTGCCATTCATCCATCGGCACGTTTCTCACCTTATATTGGATTGGGTGAATTTAAAATTGAGTAAAAATTTACTAACCGTACAGCTTACAGATATTGAATATTGTATTTTTTTTTTATGTAATAGGTGGGCACACGAGCGTACGGATTACCTGATGGTAAGCAATCAGCGCCACCCATGGACACCCCCAACGGAGGAGTTACGAGTGCGTTGCCGACCTTTTAGAGATTAGGGATTTGTAGATTTAGGGATTGAGGAGAGATTGGGGGAGGGGAAGGATTGGGCCTCCGGTAACCTCACTCACACGGCGAAACACAACGCTGTGGTTGTTTCACGCCGGTTTTCTGTGTCCACGGCCACACTCACTCCGGTCGAGCCAACCAATTCGTGCCGAAGCATGGCTCTCCCACACTTAATTCCAAATTTAAATTCATAAAATAGCAATTTTAGTTGATGTTATAATTAGCATATTACAGCAGACGGTTCTAGAATCTCTACATACATGCTGCAGTGACCATCAGCAATCTAATATACAGCTATAGTCTTACAGAGCAATACATTATTAAAATTTATTTATAATATTAATCAATTTGATATACATTTAGTACACAAACAAAAAACAAAGTTAACATTGCAGTCAAAACGCATACATCATGCTCTTGTACAACCGCAAATATAAGTTTGTTTTTAAGTACCTAATAATATTAAATAAGGTATAGGTAATAAAATATAAAATACAGGTGAAGCTAATAAAAGCGTGTTAAAAATAGTCTTATGTACCAATTGACCATAATTGTTGAGATTTGAATAAAAGATGTTGTAATTATCTTGCTTTATTACACACGTTACTTGTTACAGACACATTACAGCCATGACAGTTTTTACTCTATTACCTTTTTTATTATATGTTGACAACAACTTAAACTAACTTGGTAATAGTAGTGTTGTATTTAGTAGTATGTTTTTTTAATTCATATTACAACACCCCCTCTCAATTAAATAACATACAACTTTAACAAAAAAACTTCCTCTTACTTTAACTAAACTCTTTAAGTTTTTTTTCTTGCTTACTCCTTTATCTTTAAAATAACTTTAACTTAAACTTTTCTTCAACTTAACATTAACTTCAATTCTACCTATTGTAAACATACTACGCACTTCTTTAAAAAAAATTCAAACAAATTTCTATTTAAAGCTTTTGTGAACATATCAGATGGTTGTTCGCCAGTTTCAACATATTGTACACAAATTGTGTTATTTTGTATTAAATCCTTAACAAAATGATATCTAATATCTATCTCAGTGCCAAATTTAATTCAGATCCGTTCAGCATTTTCTACGTAAAAGTCGCGTGGTTTCACTCGCTGGTCGGCTCCATTTGATTGTAGTGTGATGTTTTATAGCCTATAGCAGTCAGGAACATTGTAACTATCTATCAGTGAAAGAATTACCCCCTACATACAAAATTACAAATTTTACCTCTTTATAATATTAGTATAGATATAGATGGTTGCCGTGTCGTGGTGGCCTGGAGGTTAAGGCATCTGCTTCTGATACAGGAGGGTGCTGGTTCAAAACCTAGCAAATACCAATGTGACTTTCGCCGAGTTATACGAACTTTCTATGATTATTTAGACACCACTGACACACAGTGAAGGAAAACATCGTGAGGAAACCTGGAATTATAACCTCTAATTATAAGTTTGAAATCGCCAATCAGCCTTGAGTAAGCGTAGTGATTAATTCTCAAACCTTCTCCGTGTGAGAAGAGGCCTTTGCTCAGTAATGGGCTGGTGGTGTGATGCTTTAAACGTTTTATGGATTCTGTCGCTGCAGTAAGTATGGCTGAATGATTATCACAATAAATGCTTACTGGACAAACATGAAAACCATAATCCTTTATATATGGATCAAGGAATCGATTACAAGATCAACATTTTGAACAACAACTGCCACTTTCAACATTCCAGGTAAAAGAGATCAAAAGCAAAGCATTGTCAGACGAACAATAGTCCAGCGGTTGTGCAGATACGTGAGAACATGTGTGCACTAAAGATCTTTTAGTGTTCAGCAGAACAACAAAAAGCCTGGTATTTGGACAATATTTCCAAAAAACAATTTTTCCTGACCCGGCAATAAAAGGGATTGATGAAAAAAAGGATGTGAAAATAGTTAAATGAATTTATCGTTTATGTAAAAACTACATTTAACTATTTAGAATTTACAAATTAGCACAAACTTTTAAATCCATAGCTTGAAGCTGCTAGTGGTCGACGCTCTGCCGAAACTTTTCGATTTATTTCTGCTCTCAGTTTGACTTGGCGGTAGATGCTGGGAGCCGTCGGAATCCGTAGAAAGAAAAATAAAACCAAAACCCGTGTGTTTAGTAACACGAGGCAAACTTCTGCAAGGTTATATTCTTGTAATAACGAATTCATGACGGGAAGGAAAAATACGAATTTTGTTTCTAGAAAAGTCTAGCTAGATTTTATCAGTAAGACGAAGTGATTAATTTAATTTTTGGCTTTGTCTCTAATGAGACACAGTTGCAAGTTGTGCATTCGTTCCACGACTATACCCAACTATCACGATCTGCGTCCCAACAACTGATAGAAATAAGTTACTTAATTAAGTTATTCCAAAAATGTGTTCTGCAGAAAACTTTCTTTATCTACTGAATAAATTAAGTTCATAGATAACTACATATATTTTACTGAAATTGCGACGTTGATAACTTGCAACCACGCAATTTATTTGATTCATTATGCAACTGCCAATAGGTTTTCTTTCCATGCCCTAATTTATGGACTTATTTCGTGCACAAGTTAGTATGTACAAGTTTATGCACGAAGAATTTGTTATAGATAAAAATACCTAAATATTCGTTTATGCAAATCTGAATGACTTTTGCCATTTGATGAATCATCGTGTTTTAAACTATGCATACACCCATTCCAAGTGTTACATAATTTTTATATGATTTTAGATTTTAAACTTTATATGGAAACAAAGGGCTTAATTTAAATTTTGTCACTTTTTACTATCACGGCCGCAGGTAGGTACTTTTTGTCAAGGGAAAATCGTCAAATGACTTCTCCCGCCCAGGGTAAGGCAAACATTCTGTTAGAAATTGTAGCTGAAGCGAAACTAGATTATTAATACTTGTTTGAGAGTACAGAGGTACACTTTGACCTCTCTCTAAGGTTGGGGATTTGAGAAACAATTCGCTGGCACTCAGGCCATACAATATTTAGTTCGATTGGTTTTGCAGTATCGACATACTACTACTGAAAAATTGTTGAATGTAAATCCTCCGCTAACTCCGGTCAACCCTGATTGTAATGGCAGGGAATGTATCAGTTGATAATATTGTTTTTTTTTTATTTCGGGACCATTGAATTAAAAATGCATGTCGTAAACAGGCCAATTCTTAATGACAGCAATCTTTATCATATTTATTCATTTAACAAAACTCATGATCTACTCACAGGCCCTTCTTTCGTTTTCAATACAGTCCCAAAGCAATGCGGATCTAGTTGGTCTGACCGGCAAAACTCGTTTACTCGTTTTTCGGTGGAGCGGAAGGTCTGTGAGCCGGGTAACTGGGTATATAAGTATGCGGTGATATTGGCCGCCCGCGGCCAGCCGCAATAAGTACTCAAAGAGGCCGCACATAGACTTACCGGATTTATTTGACTTGGATATAGGATTTCTACTGGCCACTGATCTTTCGGAAAATAACTCTACTCCTACGAGTGTATACGGAACACATTGTATGAAATGAGACTGAGATTTATTTGTATTCTTACTTATATGTACAACTATCTATCTTCTAAAAGATAGATAGATAGACACATGTTCGATTACTAATATTAATTTATTATCTACCACGCGTAAATCGAATGTAAATCGAACCATGAATTGTTGATCTAGGTCTATGTGTGGTGTGTATGTAAATTCGTATGTGATGTATTTGTAAACGCACCCATGACAATCCTGGACCTGGGGCCAAATTTATTAATGAAGAAAATCCTTCTCCTATTAAAAAATACATTACAACTACAAATACATACACCATTATGTAAACAAGCAAAAGATTAGAATAATCAATAAAATATAAATCAAGTAAACAAGCTCAGGTAACACAGAAAATATTGTACATATCTTTGGTGGTTTGTGCTGCATGTCGCATTTTCCATTGAAACGAAATAATTCCACGACCTAAATACCAGAGCAAAATAACAGACGAAAGAAACTCATATAAGTTGGACCTTTCTTTGTTCTTATACTAATTTCCAGCGTATTTCTTTGTAACAAGCATTCAAAAGAAAATTACAATGTGAAAGTAAAGGTTATATGGGAAGTAACTAAACAATTAAGAAAGGAGAACGTAAGCATTTATAAGCACTATCAAAACTCCCACTATTCCCCCATGCAGTAACTAATGAACATATTTGACTGAAGCCGGTCAGCAGCGGCCTCTAATATGTATTAAGCTTTCAAAGTGAGTGTATAAGAGTCACACTCTGGCGCAGATGGAATGATATCATGGCCTCAAAGAATACTGGCGTAAAACTATAGCGTAGCTTGTGTTGTGGCATCGCCTTATGAGTGTTATTACCACGTACCGCAAACCTCATCTCCTTCCCCAATACCTACACAAATATGATTGGTAAAAATAA